ACAAAAAAAGAAAATAAAAAACAGTCAATACCACTTTGGAGAAAAAATTAAATTCACTTAGTACAATGGGGGTTGATTTCTTAGACCACTCAATTAATAGTTATTATCTCAGAAAGTCATCATTCTTCTTGATTTCAATTTTCTTCAACAACAACAATAAAAAAATGACTTCCTAAGATAATAACTATCTATAGAGTGACCATCTAAGAAATCAACTCGTACAATGGGCAACATTCATCCCAACCTCACAACTTTCCATCCATTCCATGACTTGTACTAACAAAATAACTCATAAAGTTACAATCTTTATTATGTTAGTGGCAAGAGAAACAAATGTAAGTGATCATGAATAGAATAGCATGCAAGTAAAGATTTTAAAAAAACCCAATAGCATTAATTTCAAGAAAACATGAGGTAAAGCACATAGAAGTTCAGCATTTCAAAGAAGTAAGAAAAAGAGAGAGGATTACAGGTTGAGGAGGGTGTCTTGAGGCATTGCTAATGGAAGATGGTGAAGGAATCAATGAAACCAAAGAGGGAAGTGTTGAAGCAAAAGAGACCATTCCTTCTGTGTTGCTATTAATTTCAAGATTCTGTGTGTGCAGCACAGGGGAGAAGAAATTGAAAGATAGAAATGGTTGGAAGAGTAGTGAAGGAGAGAGGATAGTGATGAGTGAGTGGGGCCTTCAAAATCTTTAGTTGTGTTGTGTTGAAGACAATTGTGTTATCCTATCCAAACTCCAAGTTAGATTCTAAATTTAAAAATAATTATAATGTCTTTTTTTAACCCTTTCTTTATAATTTTAAATAAAATACTTTTTCCTTTTCTTTGCAAAAATATATAACTAAACATAATTCCTTTCTTCGAAAATTTCAAATACAATAAGAAAATATTTTATTTGTATGATCAAGCACCTACTAAAGGAAAAATATCAATTTATAGCCAAATTTATGCGAGACCCAAAAATATTTATTTATTGTAATAGAAACTACCTTCGCCGAAATTTGCCCTTTTTTTTCCGTCTCTCTCAAATTCACTATTGATAATAATTTGATATCTTGAGCTATTTATCTTTGTTCGTCATCTCCGCCTGCTTGATCTTCAGGTCAGTATTATATCTCTCTGCTCTATTTACCTTTTTTTTTTTCTTCAGTTCGGAGTATTTGATTTGGACCTAGGGTTATAAACTGGTGAATGTATGTATTTTCCAATTTGTACTTATGGTAATTGAACATAACTTCTTATAGGGTTCTTTTTGATATATCGAAGGAGTAGGGCTTCAATTTAGTTTGTTTTGATCTTTCGAGCACCTCTCTGCATTCAATAGTTGGTTAAATGATTTGATTTGTTGGAGCTGCAGCATCATAAGCAAATTATATTGTTAGATTTTTGTTGTGAGCGTCCTGTTTGGATAAGCCATCTTGGATTGATTCTTGACGTAATGACATCAGAAATTAGTACACTCTACATAGGAATTTTACTGCTCAATTGTATTTTCATGTTGATGATATTGGTAAATATCAGTTATAGTTTGTTGTTTAGGTTTAATGTCTAACATTCGGCTGCATTTTGATATTTATACCGTTCTATAGTAGCATAAAGAGGGAAGAATAAGGTCTTTCATTTACTACATTTTCTTAGCTAAAAAGACTGGAATTTTACAATATTCTTACTCTTCTTTGCTTCATGATCAACGACTCCAAGCATTAGTTATATGGTATAGTTGTTACAGATTACCAACTTCTTACTATAGCTGAATGTTTCACAAAACACTTCTTATTTTGATTAATAAATGAATAGATATTGAAGCTGTGCAAGTTGCTCAAAAGAGTTCGGTTACTCTGTGTTTTACCTGTCTGAATTTTATTTGTGATTTGTAGATGATTTGGGAAATTTAGGAAATCTTATGGCGGATAGGGCTTATGAAAGGCACTCAGCTGACTACTTATGTCTGTGTATGTTAAAAAGGGTATTTCACGGTTGTACCTCCAGTTTCTATGTTTGTTGGTTGTGGGTAGCCTTAGAGATTATGAAGAATGAAAAGAATTGGAGGAGGGACAGAAGGTAGGGTCTATTGTTGCGGAGTAGAGAGGCCTGACGACTAAGTACATGAACCTTAAAGATGACTGAACCTAATACTAAAAGTTTTCAAACAATCATGCAGCCTCACCTAATCTTCAAAATAAAGCTTGCAATTGCTTAATAATGAGGTGGATAGTTAATACAGGATCAGCATACCTATATTGTGGAACTTGGAACAAACAGTCAGGAACTTGACTGGCAAGACAAATAAAGCAAGCTGGCAAGACCAATTAAAGTGTGTTGCTTGTGAACTGATAGAGTCTCGCATTTCTTTTTCTTCTATAAGAAAAACTTATTATACTTCAAATAGTCCAAGAAAAGTTGAGTTGTGAGACAATTGGTGCAGAACCAATGAATGTACATGCTTCATGTGCTGAGTTCATTTCCCTAGCCTGTGGAAATGCAATCTGCATTATAGAAACAGATATATAGATTTTCTAATTTGTTAATATTAGTTGCTTCATATTCAATTTGTTGCTGCGGCTTCATATATTGTATTCTGGCCACAAAGTAACACAAAAAATTTAAAAGGAAAAATAAAGACTAAAGCTTTGATGGTAAACTGGAGTAATATATATATAATAGCTGCACAAATCTAACTACTAGGTCCTATCCTGCGGGGAATACGAGCAATTAGTTGGTGATTTGAGACAGATAGTTGAAATATTGATGACTTCTCATGTGGAATCAGTCAAACCTAAGGTCCAGTCCTTCCTAGCAAGCCCGTAAGATATTAATGGGTCTAAATCAAAAAGGTAACTACAATGTTAAATGAAGAGACAGCTTAGAGTATTTGCATACACCTTGTAGTTATTCTTATCCAACAATATATCAAAAGATATCAGGATATAAAAGACAAGCCCTTCACACTTTTTCCACAATGTTGTAGAGTTGAGAGTGGTATAGATGTCAAAGTGATAATTAGGATATTAATTCGGGGATCCAAAATAAGCAAATAATATTCTGGAGATCCTCTTTAATGATGAATTGGAAAACAGTTTGAGTCCATGCTGCCTTGGTACACACAAGGCGTTTCTTTTTGTTAGAACTATTATACTTAAGAGATATATCACATAATCAAAAAGGTAAGATAGGAACCCTATTTTGAAGAGGAGTCCTACTGTGAATGCTAGGAAGCTTGGTAGACGAAAGAATTGCTAACATATATGTAAAACACATGACTCTCAAAACTTTTTATATATCAAAACACTTTTTTTTTGAGACAGCAACAATAGACCACTTACTTTTTTTGATCAGGTAAAAGATTTTGTTAACAATAGCAGGGTCATCTTGGCCGTATACATGAGGTATACCCAAAAAAAAAGAAGGGAAACGTACAAAATATGGTTCTCTCCAATAGACACCCAATTCTTTATACAAACAGGAACTTCATTTGTGCACCAAAAGAAAATAAGGGATCGGAGAGTACTCCTCAAATGAGCAAAGCTCGTCTCCACCCCTTCAAAAGCTCCCCTATTTCTCTCCCTCCAAACGACCCACATAAAAACTAGAGGAGTAACATTCCAATCCTTGTGTCTTCTTCTCCTAGCTCCACTCTTCCAGCTGAACATCAACACCTCCACGGATGTTGGCATTACCCAAGAACACCAAACCATCTAAAGATATCCTCCCATAACCTTGTAGCGAATTTGCAATGTAACAGAATGTGGTCCGCATCCTCACCCGCCTCCATTCAAAGAAAACACTAGCTCGTAAATGCAACCTTCTGTTTCCTAAGATTCTCTGCTAGAAAAACCTCCCCTCTAGTATCTAAGCGAAGAAGCACACGTTTCTGGGCATCTTAGGAATCCAGACCGAGGCATGTGGAAAACTAACTTCTGCCCTGACCAGAAGCTTCTCATAGAAGGACTTAACTGAGAGCGAATTGTTATTCCCAACTCCAACTCCCAGTATCGGGTCTGTCAATCAGCTGGAAGACCTTTAATGATACAAGTTAAAGTAAAGTTTCAGTGGGATATTGCGTATTCAGTTGATTGTATACAAAGATATATTATTACAATATACGTTTGTATGCATTTCTTTGCTTTCCAGGACTATCTACATAACATGGTTCTTCGTTTTTAAGAGTTCAAGAAATTTGCTACTTCATCAAAAATATTTTTTTTTGGGATCCGATGCGGACACAGTTGAGATTCAGACATGTTGCATATTATTCTAGTTTATGTTTTGTTTTCAGCATTTCTATAGATTATTCTAACCAACAGTTAATACACATTATTAGCAGCATATAGTTACTTATTGCTTTTATTTTTGAGAAAATAGCCAAAATCCCCCTCAACCTATTAGCCAATTCTTAACTACACACTTATTCTATTACCTCCCTAAACTTTTTAAATATGGAATAATCACCTCCCTAAAAAGTCATAACCAGTTTTATGTCAAAGGTGTGCAACACACGCGATAAATCACTGTACATTCATTTTTTTTAATTCTTTTTCTTTTTTTCTTGTAAAATATAAACCTAATCAAAATATTAATTTAATAATCCCCTGTAAGATTATGTAAAGTTTCCATTTTTATCTAAGGTAGAAATTAAAATTTACAAAAAAATGCTTTCAAATAGAGATTGTTTTTCCAAAATACTAATGATTTCTTTAGAGAATAATAAGAGAAAATGAGGGAAAAAATCTCTACACCAAATTAAAGAAGAAGAACAACTCCATAGCTAGTCTACATAAACTTTCAATTTGAAATCGAACCCAAAACAAAAATTCACAAATAAGAATTCACAAATGCGGGAGTGAAAAACAAATTTGGTAGAATGGAATTAGAAAGTGAAATTTCAAATTCACCATTGTTGGTTCATTTTGGTTTTGACTTCTTTTTTATTATTATTTTTTTTTGCTGAAATTATGAGGGGTTTAAGAAAAAACTTGAACTCCATTTTTTGAGCTTCATATATGAAAGTTTCTTATGAGTTAGGTGATTGTTGTTGCTAAAACGGTTGATGTATGATTAACTAAGCATAAATCAGTAGCTACAAACTGATTTGGAGTTCCTAGAGACGAAATTTAGAAGACCACCATTGAAGGACTTTGAGAAAAACTTGAAGAAATCATGAAATGGGTATAACAATTTTTTGATATAAGAAAAGGGAAAGAATTAAAAAGAAATGAATTAATTATATAATCTCCAATGAGAGACTGCCACATGGACTATTTAATTCAATTTTAGTCATTTTATATCTTTTTGTTGAACCCTTACGTGCCTACAAGAGGTGTATTCACCTTCTTGGACAGGTCAGCGTTTAAGGGTCACAAAATATCGAAAATAAAATGTTCAGGGGGGTAATAGGACCCCCGTGAAATATAAGTGTGTAGTTGAAAATTGGTCAATAGATTAGGGAGGCATTTGGCTATTTTCTCTTTATTTTTGGATATACTAGACCATATGCACTATCCTTGTGGAAGTAAAAGTTGTCATATCATATTTGTTTTTATTTTACTCCATTACTCGACTAATATTCAAATTGTTTCATCTATTTCTTCAAATAATGATGTTGCAGAAGTTCTTTTTCAATTTACTCTAAATTCAAACTTTAAATAGTTTTAACCATATCAATTGGCCATCTGATAATCACCACCTCCTGTTAGCATATGTATAGTTGAAGCTCTGTGAAAGAGTGAGAAGTTGCTACTAACTTTGAGAATCATGTATTTTACTAGATTGGTTATTTCAAGTATACTAATGCAGACTTGAGTGTATTACGTTGTGTAAGAATATTTAAACTAACTATTTTGGCGCTCTAAAAGGAAAATGGTTATAGTGATACAACGACCACTACCTTTACCATAATAATCAGGTTTTGAGATCTGTGACTTTGTGCTAAAATTTGCTTTACACTTCCTTGCATCCGGTATGATTGCATGAAAGCAGATGAGCCACACAATCACTTGTTAAGTGCCTCTGCTGGTAAGAGCTGTTTTAATCTGGCTTTTGACTCTGTGTACTTGAACTTCAAAAACTAATTAAAATTTAGAACACTATTATAAACGTGTTTATCTGGTAATGTTCATTTTCAAAACAGAAAACTATGATAAACTAGCATATTATCTACATGTTTAATTTTTGTTAATTTATATGGATTTTTCTTTAACGAAGTCGGTGAGAATATCTCAATCATGCCCCTCAATTGGTAACACTACTTAGTGATTGTCGAGTGCTGGTAACTTTGCTACTTCTATGTCTTTCTTTCCCTTGTAATGGACTTTGCTGATACTTTTTATTCTTCTTGTTTGTTAGCTTTCTTACTGGATTAATTACTTTTGCAGGAAGTTGTGGATACCTTACCATACAACAAAACTATTGATTTTCTGAGGTTTCTCATAGAACTCAACCAACTTACGGATATCAAGAAACTTGTAAAGCAAAGCGACATAGAGAAGACCTTGCTTTGCAGTCTTTAATGTGGATTAAATCCTAAACCTTTGACGTCCTCATTTTTTAAAGATATAAACAGGGAGATTTCACACACCGTTCAGAAATAATGGCTTCGTTTGGATCTCTTAAGCAGGCTATCTTTGACAGACAAACAAGAAAACAGCAATACCAAGATCACATACGAGGCCTGAATGCTTATGATCGCCACAAGAAATTCCTCAATGATTATGTTGGATTTTATGGAAGAGAGAGATCCACACAAGAAAAGTTGCCTCTTAGAACAGATCAGGATACTCTTAAAGAAGGATACCGATTCATACGAACTGAGGAAGATGATATGAATCCATCTTGGGAGCAAAGGCTGGTGAAGCGCTACTATGACAAGCTATTCAAAGAATATTGTATAGCTGATATGACACACTATAAGAGTGGCAAGATTGGTCTGAGATGGAGGACCGAAAAGGAAGTGACATCTGGTAAAGGGCATTTTGTCTGTGGTAACAAACACTGCAATGAGAGAGATGGTCTAGCAAGTTACGAGGTGAATTTTTCATATGTTGAAGCAGAAGAAAACAAACAAGCCCTGGTGAAATTGGTAGCCTGTGAGAGATGTGCAGAAAAGCTTCTTTATAAAAAGAGGAAAGAGAAGGATCAATCTAAAGAAGACCTGAAAGATAAGCATCGAAGGAAAAGGGGAAGATCTGTGAGTGATGATGAACATAAGGATGATAATTACGAACGAAGGAAAATGGGAAGATCTGTAAGTGATGATGAAAATAAGGATGATAATTACAAACCAAGGAAAAATGAAAGATCTGTAAGTGATGATGATACTAAGGATGATAATTACGAACGAAGGAAAGGAAGGAGTAGAGGGTCAAAGGGCCCAACTTCATCTGATAATCCGGATAATGAGAATATGGATGAGTATCTGGAGGGAATGTTTCCTTGACAGGAGGTTACTGATGTTTTTGTAGAAATTTTGAAGTTTTCATTAAATTTGTTTAGATTGCAACTAGGTATTTTTGTTTGGACAATGGAGAGGAAATTTGGTTGGAAAAGCTCGAGTAAGGTTGTATTTTTGAAAGGCTAGACTGGTTAAGAAATATATGAAGGAACGTGGAAACGCTGGAAGTGGGGAGCTCAAGTATTCTATTGGGTTGTCTGATCATCCATTTAAAATCAAGAAGTGTAGCAAGTGATGTTTCTACTTAGTTTTCAACAGTTTTTTTGCTAATAAGTAGCTCCTCGGAATGTAAATATATGATCCATGTACACTTATGTTGGTTATGAAGTTTACTCCTTTGACCTAATGGATGTCTCATCTTCAATATTGTAGATCAATTTAACGCACAAGTTCATTGAAAACGTAAGCCTGTATTGTTTGTGTAATTTTAGTAGGCAGTGAAATTCATGATAGTTTGCTGCTTGTCAAGTACCTGCTGGGCTTCATTGGTTATCAAAAAGGATGAAAATGGACTTCACCTTTGGTATTTGTGAAAATAGTTATTCAGTTAAATATGCACTGCTATTTAACTATTTCAATCATGTGTCTCAACTCTCAAGTAACTGTATTTAAGTCAAAAGTAGCACTTATAAATTGCTCAATTCCAAGTACCATGTACAAAGAGACTAATTAGGGGGAGTGTTGAATTGATTAGCTTTCTTTTGTTGAGAATGTCAAGAATAAACAGATACACCCAAAAAAGAAGGAAAAAAAAGAGCTAAATGTAAATAAGAAAACAGACATCTCCATAATGAGACCCTCCATCTATACAAGTGTGACATTTTATACTCTTAATTTTGACTTGATCAACTTCCCCCTCAAGGAAAGCCTCATCTCAATCAAACTCCTCTCTCTGCTGAATGGAGACACCTATTTTCTTCAATCATCTACACCTATAAAGTCACTTGGAACAATCTCTTTTCATTGTTTATGTACATTTCGCATGCTAATAAGCTCGTTGCCTGCTCCAGCGTCAATAAAATAAGACTGAAACAGCAGCACTAATGCAACACATGGGTCTTGTGTTTTCATCTTAACTACCTGATACTTTGAGAATTATTCATGTATGACGATTCCTTTCGACATAAACAGTCTGGTAGAGGATTTACATAGAATGCCTCCTCTGAACGAAACCTATCTGTTCCCTTTGTACCTGAAATTGGCCCTTTCCTCTTTCTTGGCGATCCTTGCCTGCACAATCAAAAATAATAATTAAAAAAAAATAGATCAGATACCATTGTATTGATTCTTGGCAAAAGTTCTCATATCTTCAATCTAATGACCATAAGAAAAATGAGTTTATGCAATGCAGATGGAACAACATACTAGAACTGAGATCCAAGAGGCACTCTAATTGTCACAAGGTTTCAAAGATCTACTGAAGAAGTAGTAAACAGTACTCAAAATTGTAATTTCAGTTTTCATCTCTAAAAATGGAAGCGAAAAAGATATCACTCATTACTGGCCAGGGCCAGGAAAAAACTTCTACATCCAGTTGCAAGCCTTTCCCAAACACACAACAAAGAAAGTACATCATCAGACTCCGGAAAGATAGGACAAGAATAATTGCAAGCAGATAACTGTTAGAATTCATATAGAAATATAACCACTACATCAGCAGGACCTTCATCAGCACCTTGATTATATTTCACAAACAGAAAATAATCTCTACATTTGACATACCGCCTCCTGTGGATTTCAATAATGCGATTGGACAGATTTTTCCCCTCTTTCATCGTACCCTGGTCAATTTTGTCAAAAAGCCGGACAAGAGTTCTCCTGGTGATTACAAAGAAAGTATTAGCAGGAGATAGTTATAATCCTCCAAGCAGACTAAATACTACGTGGGAACTAAAAGATACTGAATATAGCATGTGTAGAGAGGAGGTCTTGCCTATCAGGAGATATTGTTTTCCTATGCCCCAGAAATCGACGATGTCCCTCAACTGCTCTTGCCATATTTCCCGAGTACGTAGGAATGAATATGTCACTCTCAATAGACACGATATAGTCTAGGGCAGCCAATTGAGATGCATGATTGACAAATGGCTCAAGCTCCTCAATAGAAGCCAACTTTTCCTGCAAGAAAGATGCAAATCACTCTTTAAGTAAGCGGAGCCTATCACATATATCAGAAGTACTTTGTTTTGAGATTATATGGCTTCTATGGAAATTTGCTTCATACGTAGGGGATCGAGAGCAGAAGGAACATGCCTTGGCAGATTGAAATCATGAAATTGATATTTAAACTTCATAAGCGAAAAAAGGTAAATACACAATTGGTTCATGCCAATATTGATGTTGCAGATTCAGCACCTGAACAGACTAACCAAATAAGTTCTCTTTGGGATCTCAAGAAGCATCAAACAAGAAGGTGAACTCCCTGACTGAAAAACAATGAATTTAATTTGGTCCGGATAGCTGAAATTTTTTAGAGACTTTGCTCATCTCAATGGACACCACAATTGCCATTTCATATATTGACAGAGCTTGAAATGGATATCCGAGTGACCCGATTTCTTTATGACAGATTACAGTTAAAATTTTACAAATCTTTCAAAAGATCCAACACAAATTCTATTATCTTTTCCCGGTTCTGTTCTATTCACTTGCTGATGAGCACAAACTGTTTTTGCATAACACAAAAACAACGATCAACGCACACTGCTATAAAGAAAGACAATATCAATATTAAGCAAAATTTGTGGATGCTTTTATTCTAAATCACTCAAAGGAAATGTTCAGATTATTATGCTGACTGGACCAACTTAAGTTGTACTAGCTATGTTTTTCAAATGCATATACAGACATTGAGGCCAAGATTTGAGCACATCGAGTTTTTGAATTAGTTTCATGTGATCCCCCCACTAGTCTATGTGGAACTATTTTCATCTTTTATTTTAGTTTAATTTGAATGTAAAATAACTCTAGAGTTGTGAACTAAATGGACTTGACTCAATGTACTTACGGTTAAGTCTTGGTTATTGTTTTCATCATCATGTTTAAGTTGTTGAGACAGTATTGCTTGTTTAAACATATTAAGTATTGCCTTGAGGTTGACGAACGAGTCCATCAGGTTCTGGGTCATGTGCCCAATTTGGTTTTTTTTTTTTTTTTTTGGAATCAATTGGGTGGTGATATGATGTGTTTGATAGCACCCACAATAAAATTATATCATCATGTTGAAACTATATATGCCCATTTCAAATTCTTCAATTTTTGACCACTTATCATACCTTCTGAGTTCATGGGCATGGACATTCATAAAATCCACTAAAAGTTACATAGAAATCCACAATCAAGTGAGATATCTAACTAACAAAAATCATCCAAGACATTTTAAGCAACAATGCAAGGAAGGTTTGCATACCTTATTCATTAATAAGGGGTAGCGCAACAACAGATCAGACATATGGGAATCACCCCCATATATCTCTCCAGCAGCAATATATATAGGAGTGTTTGATGGAAATCCAAGAGCGGAAAGGAATAGTCCAACTTCTCTTGGAGTTAATGGACAATAGCCTTTACTTCTCTGTTCTACAGGGTCAATTTCTTTCACCTTCCACCATGTGGTGTTTTCCCTACAAATGATCAAGATAATGAAATGACCATCATCAGATTACAAATTCAAACATAGTCAATGGCATGCTACTAATTCAAATAAAAGGAGAGAGCATTTCTAAAAGCTTGGTGGATGTGACAGGGGAAGGGCTCCATATTCAGGCCAATCACTAGATTTCTTTTTAGAAGAAATGTACCAATCAGCATGGCATCTGGAGATCCTTTTCTTTGTGAATGTTCCTTTTTTTTTTTAACTAACTTCTTGAAATGGGTTGTTTTAAAGTTTGTATACTATACAATTGAACCCCACAGGAACCAAAATAGGAGACCAGTGAGCTAGGCATCTCACACGTGTCTAATACTCAAAACAAAATGAAAGCATATGGTTGATGTTCAACCTGTTAAAAAGTGTTTTTGCTTCTTAGCAGACAAACTTTTGTTTGAAGAGGTCAAATTTTACCCAACAATTAATCACAAGCACATGCTCTGGTTATCAAATAACTATACGTCATAATAATCCACCTAATTGCCTTCAGTTCCTCAGCTTCTTCTGGGGATAGATCATGTGTGCATCCACTAAAAGCAAGCATGTCCTTTTCAAATCGCAAATGTAAAGCAATATAGGGGCCATATGATCTCATCCGATCAACCAACATCTGTAAATAGAAGTTGAAATCAATGAAATAGCTCAGGCAAAGAAACACTTGAACATGTTTTTGAACTAAGCATCAATAAGTGGTAACCTTTCCCATTGCTTCAATCTTGGGAGCAAATCGAAGGGCTTCATAACAAGCTCGACAGCGCAGCTTCTGAATATCAGGAGGCAGGTTATTATTCGCCAATCTTGAATCAGACTTGGCAGCTCGAATAATCTAAAGAGATTAGATTGCATCCATTAGTTACAAATGAACATTATTGCTTGTTTGGTACACAGATTAGTTTTATGTACCTGGTATTCATCCCACAGTCGTGCAATCTCTTCCTCATAGTAATCCACACCAGACCAACTCCTAAAATGTTTAACTGCTTTAGTTGCAGATGCCAGTTCCTTCGGTAGCTTTTTGATGACATTTACATCGTTTTTCAAAGAATTAATAAAATGGTCTTCATCAAAGACATCGGAGAAGTTGCTGCAATTCAGGCATAGAAGAGTAAATTTTACCAGTTTATGCACAATTTATGCAGCAAGTATAATACACTCAATCCTTAAGGATGAAAAGGATGTTGATCCCCTTGCAACAAACAGTTCAAAATGAGCATGAAACCCCAAAAAGAAATTGCTCACTAATGGACATTACGCACCTAGAGTCCTGCCAAAGTGAGCGCTTATCAAGCTCAGGGATCACAAGAGTAGCATTTATGATACGAGCAACAGCAACCATGTCACATATCTGCAACATAACAACTTTTTCTTTCAGCAGAAAGCCACAAACAATGACAAGTAAATGTTTTATGCATACATTATGTGAACTTTACACGGATGACATAATTTCATGAATCCACAATAAAACGAAAAAAATATTCATTAAGGACCAACACCTTATAAAGAAAAGAATTAACATGTATACTGGTTTAGGGGAGATGAATTGTCTTCTAGAAGATTTGAAATGTAAACCAAATGCTAGAAATAAGGGGCATAAGACATATTCTTTGAAGAAACTCATACTGAGTTAGATTATGATTAATTAAAGATGCATATTTAACATAACAGACTTCCACTCATCCTCCTCCCACCAAAACACAACTTCATTTTCTCTGAGTAAAAGTAATGCCT